TTTAAATGCGAATTGAGAAAAAACAAATTTAAATTTTGTTTTTTGTTAATTTGAATAATTTAAGAATCATTAAACTTAATGACAATTTAGAAATCATAACAGAGTAAAAGAATATTCTACTTTATTTTCGGAAAAAATTTCAAATTTCCAATTTATTATTTTAGTCAGATATTTACATAGGCCTATATTTTGTAAAAATTATAGTTGAATTAGAATATTATAACGGTATATATAATTTATTCACCTGTAAAATTAAACAAAAATATAATGAAGACAATCACTAAATATCACGTTACACGCATATTGTTAAAAATCATAATAAACTGGCATTTAATCTGATTTGACAAATAATTATAATTATTTAATCGTATATTTTAAAAATTATAAAACAGATTTAAAACTGTGAACAGAAAATATACAAATAAACAATAAAATTTTTTTATTAGATTTTTAGAAAAAAAAAATTTATGTCTTTTACGTCATTTGCATAATAAATTATTTATCAATAAAAGCACAATCTTACAGAACGTGTTTTATTTTTTACATGTGTAAGGTATACCGTAAGCAAAAATGTGGCAAATCAATATTATGAGCTATCTGGATTGAGTAACTATTTGTTATAAAAAATCATCTCTGTTAAAATATGACAATTATTCCAAATTTTTAATGCATTTCCAAAATAAATCAGAAATTTTATTCGAAAAACCTGTTATAATTGAAAGGGTTTAAGTAGGAAGGAATTTTGTATAGCTTTGTTATACAAAAATAGTTTTAGTTTTTCTGATTTTAAATTACATAATTTGTGGCTTGGTTCGATTTGAGATTTAAAAGATGATTCAAGATTTCAATTTTTAATTGTGTTACTAGCTATAAATATCGCAGAAAGGGATTCTGTGAAAGATATACGTATTGTTTCAAAAATACGATGGTTTAAAAATAAATTTTTTTTCATGAAAGCATTTCTAAAATTCATCTTTTGTTAACTCTTTAAATTGAAACAAAGTATTAATTATTAAGGGAGAGTGCTAAACATTTCCCATTCTATTTGTACAATAGAAAATAAATGTCTGGAATACAGACCTACACGTAAATTTACGTAGAAATTATTATGATCTGGATCGAATTCTGACATGATTTAGTCTTCATCGTCCGCCCTTCTGTCTCTTCACGCGGTAACGCATTAAGCTAGGATAGCTAAATGTTCACCCGATTTAATTTGAATTAGATTAAAGGAACGGTTCGTGTACCTATACCATTAAATTTCAAAAATAATTAAGTGATTGCTTGGGAGTATAACTGAGCTTGATACTGGCGGCAATAAATCTACATATAAATCGAATAATCTTTTCTAATATTAAATAATTTTTTTTTGTGTCATACTATGAGTGTTTAGTGGATCACATCTTTTGCTGTGATCCACAATGTAAGAGCATTTTACAACAAAATTACTTGGGATAAATTTTAACTTTGCTAATTTGGATTTTAAAACATGGCAATATTTAGGAATATTCTATAAATTCTTATTACAATAATTATTAAATTAAATATATTTTATTTAATATCATTCGAAATAATTTTAAATTTTAAATAATTACTTAAACTCAGTTAGTGATTTGGATAATTATACGATTGTGGCGTAACCTTTAACATAATTTAGCATTTGAGCAGGATATTGCTTTCTTAACCTCTATAGGGTTTTGTTTATTTTAAGTTTAAAATAAATATAGTTACTAATATAATTATGTAATTTTAATAAGTACTCACATACATAATATAATGAATGACAAATTGTACTCACGCGATTGCTAAAATTCAATTAATTTTAAATTGTTTTAAAAAACACAAAGTATAATGTTATATAACACACGCATATAAAAGAAATAAACCTGTTAATGAATTTGTATTCATGTGTAAATGTAATTACAAACCCACCCATGCTCTTATTTGCATAAATGCCCGCCGCTTTAATTAATTTTACTTATTTTAATAAAAATATGTAATTTATTTTTTCACTTGTTCTTATACAATTAGTATAATAAATAAAATTATTTATTTATAAAATATTTTTAAAATTATGATTAATATTAAAAAAAAAATAAATGTTATGAGAACTTACGAGTAAAAATTTCTTGAAAAGTAAAAGTTATTGCAGAAATTAATTATTAATAATATAGAATTAAAAAAAAACCAATTCTAGGAGGTGAAATTCAATTACTTAGTCTTAGACTATTTTAAGTTTATGCGAGAATTTGGTTTTTTTTTTTAATTAATTGTGACATGAAAAATTATAATTTATATGAATTAATTTTAAATTTGTTTAAATTAAATATGACAGAAATTATATGCGTTCATACTCGTCTAATCAATATTCATGTAGAAAATTATTAAATTAAATATCAAGTGGGTTTACAAATGACAATAATTTATAGCTTTTTTGCAAACATAAGAGTTTCCCGATTAAATTCACTCCCTTCAACAATTTCCTTATACTAAAATTTAGTTTTAACTCTTGAGTTTTATTCATAAATTTATGAATTTTTTATGTATAATGTTGTTCCACAGTGGTTCTGTTAGTATGACATGTAATTACAAGTAATTATCGTTGATTTTGAATTGTGACAATTTCTTCAATCGGAACGTAGTTTAAAAATGCTAGTATATACAAAAGAGACAAGAAAAATTAAAGTTTGATATGAAATATGCCTGTCTGAAACGTGATTTACTTGGAAACCTGTTAAAATGTAGCAAAACGTTTGTCTTGAATACAATTTTTTTTAAAAACTCGTTAAGATATGAAAAATTGTCTGTCTTGAACGCAATTGACTTGAAAATTCGTTAAAATGTGGAGAAAAACTTCTGTCTGGAACGCAATTGCCTTGAAAATTCGGTAAAATATGAAAAAATGTCTGTCTGGAACAAAATTGACTTGAAAATTCGTTAAGATGTGAAAAAAAACTGTCTGTGTATTCTAGAAACTGGAAAATAATTTAACATAGTTGACGTTATAACACTCAGAAAAATTAGTCTACATACTGTGAGTTCCACTCAGAAAAATTAGTCAAATATTCGTACGCATGCAATTCTTTTAATATTTTTATCATATTTTTCTTAAGAAAATATTTCTTAAACGGAAAAAAGCAAAATGGAGAAAATAACAGAAAATTTACATTTGATAATTTTTTTAATTTGATTTTGAATAACAAAGGGTAAAATATCAAATAGACCCATTTTTTTTTGTTGTAGTTATTCTCCAATAACCAAAGATTTTTAATTTTAAATTTATCAATATTTTTTTTTTCATTATTCTTTTTTTTTGTTTAATTGACTTTTTTTATCGTTCTCTTTCAATTTACCTTTACATTGAATTCCACATGCAAATCAAGCGCATATTGTATGTGTAGGTAAAAATACATTCGCTGTCGAGGCATATCAAATTACACTAGTTTCCGTTTTCTATTTTTCTCATTTTTTCTTCCATGTATCCAAGTATACATTTTTAGTCTAATTGAGTTAAAAAATTAGAAATTGATTTTATGAAAAATGGCCATGGAATAGATTCATTATGGTCTTAAGAATTTATTACGCTATTTATAATTAATATTACAAATATATTATAATTTAAATTTGATTAACTTTGAATTATGGGTTTTGATTTTTTATGCTTCTTAAAAATGAAAAATTTCAAATTGATTTTATTTATTTCATTTTTTAAATTATTGTTATATTACGAGTATATAGGATAAGGGAACTATATAACAATAATTTTTTGTTTTATTTAGCTGCAGGTTGTGTTACGATTGCAAAATATTGTATAAACTTTTGGTAATTTATTTAAAAAATATATGAAATTAAAATGTCATTGGTATTTTTTATTGTATAGAAGTGGACATAGCGGTAATATTATTAAATATTTTTTTTTTGCGTATAAAATTTATAATTATTGCGTACAACATACTAAAATATTATGCTCTTGAAATTAATACATACAGTTATTAATTAAAAATTTACGGAATTTTTGGAAAATTAATTAAAAAATTTTTTTAAATTCGAATGTACGAATTGAATTTAATTTGTTTATTTAATTTGAAAGCTATTGCATGAAGTAATATGGGACGTCAAATGAGAACCCAATAATAAAGTTTTCCGAGAAATGTAAAATTTCATTTCTCTGCGAAGATCATCTATAAGTACATGCATTCATAAATATTTGTTTACATTCCAGTAGTTGTATAAGAATAGTTTTACAAATTATTGCTACCTCACTTAAATACCAAGCCCCAGAATATTTAAAAGCTCATGGACATCTTTCATATAACTTTAAAAAACCCTCCTCTTCGATATACAGCAAATACACTATATACAGAGCGCATATTAAACGCCCTTTACTATATCAAAATTTTAGAGTTCACGACAAATTTCTGAAAAATACACACTATGGCTTCTTGGTCATCTTATCCGGAAAACACTATTCCGTTAAAATAACAATCGTAATGTAAAGATCCGTGTTTATCAGCGTTTAGAGAACTATTATTTTCTCTTCAGTTTTATTCGTTTATAACGCCTTGGTAATTCCGTTTTGGTATTCTATTGCACATTCCTCTTGCTTCTCTGTTCATCTATGATTTCCTACATTTATTCCCTCATGTTTACTATCATGTTTACATATTACAATCAGTTAATTATGAATTGATTTTCGGTATTTTACATGAATTTTGCAGATTTTGAATATTGTAATTTTAACTTCTAACTTTTCTCATAATTTTTTATTATTCTAAAATATCTTAATTAAAATTTTGAATAATTAGTGTAAAAAATATTACAAAATGATTTTTACTTTATATCTCTTAAAGCTAGAAGCAAATCCTTGAATTCTTCAAAAATAATAATTATAATTTTTGAAATTAGCAAGTGCATGAGCAAAAATTAACAAAACTTGAATTCAAAGAGCTTATCAATTAACATTAAATGTATGGAACTCATGTATTTATAAATACTTGAAGCTTGATCTATTCTTTACACCTCAATATTTTAAGAATAATATACAAAAATTATTAATTGATGATATCGTAGTTTTAAAAGTGCGGTAAAATTACTGAATGCTTAAAGCAATGAATGCGATGAGAACCAATTTATTTCTTTTGTTTTTTTTTTGTTAAATCTTCTTCAAAAATTGTTAATCATAATTTTAAATTTAAACAAATTGTTAATAACTACTTAAGATTTACTAATCATTTATTTTTTTTTTCTTTCTCGTTTCAGGTAAGTGTCAGTTTTCACGGATCTCGATAAAAATATAAATTAATATTTTCGAAAATAATGATGATGTAAGAAATAACAATTAATTAGAAAGAAAATTAAAAAAAAAAAATTAAGAAAAAATATGATTAATTTGTTCTTTGATCTTTTGTAAATTAAACTGAATTGGTTTATGTAGAATGAGTGGAAATTAAGATATTGCGATTGAAAATTTTATTTACAACATTTGGAAATTTACGAAAAAAGAACAAAAAATTTTTAATTTTAAATGAGTTCCAAACATGAAACATTTAATGGGGAAGATTAAAAAAAACAATCATCATTTTTTTCTTGATTTTTATAATTTGTAGAATTTTTTTTTTCTAAATTATGATTTGTAGCAGCGTTCTTCCAGTTACAATGATAATTTTTTTTTTTGTAAATTAACTATTAAAATCTTTGGCTCTTATTCTGAAATTTTGGGAATGAAAATCTACAAAATATTTTGTTTTAATTTACCCACAGATGTACTGGAAATTAAAAATAATGAAGTTATCTAAATTTTGGTCGGTAAATAGCGGGGTTCCGCATTAGTTTAATTAATAAATATTTAATTTATATTAATTGTTCCTTATAATCATATACTTACGAATATTAAATAAGAGAAATTTTTCCATTACCAGAGTAAGATCCTTGTTTTACGAGAGTTTTAAGAATTTTTTTTGCATAATTTTGAGTCAGTGTAATCGAAAATTAAATCAACAGTGGTATTAATGTAAAGAGAAATAATCATTAATTCCTATTCGAGTTATTTATCAGACAGTAGCTTGCTAATATACTGACTGCAGATTATATTCGTAAAATCATAAATTATGTGACGAGAATTTATTTGACAGTGTGATGACACAAAGATGATTTATGCTATATTCAAGTATAGTGTTTTGAGAATCTAGGAAATCCCCTAAAATTTCATAAATTTGTAACATTTCTAAGAAAACTTCAAAATAAAATGGAAATTTTTACAGATATCAATATAATCAGAATATTTTAGTAGCTGTTGTATGTCTGATAAAATGAATTCTCCTGAGTAATTCTTTAAATAAATATCACTTGCCATCGGTAATTTTCCATCTCTGTAATCTTATGATGTAAAGTGCTACTTGAGTTGTGATTTATTTATTATTATAATTTTTCATCATTATTCGTAATCATAAAATTGTCATAAAATACCTTAAAATTTTACAAAGGTATATTAGGATAAAATTCGAATAAAAATTCTAAATATTTGTAAATTGGAGTATTTCTTCTATAAATTCAATACCATGCCGAGTTCATGTACTGTTTATAGCAACAAATTAGAACATTACTCTCTTTCTGTTCAATGCTCTAATTGTACAAATATGCTGGATGTGAAATGTTTTAATTTGTCTCACAATGAAATCGATTTTATATGAGAAAAAATTCAAATTTTCGTGTAGATGTGATAGCTGTAATCGCTCTCGCCGTAAGTCATTTCATGGTGGTATTGTGATTACTCAATCAATTTCTCCGGCAATTTCTCAATATGTTGAAAATGTTGCTGCAACATCAAATTCTCCGGCGAATTCAAATGAAGCGCAGATGATTTTGTAAATGATATTTCACTCAATTCTTTGTATAAATTAAATCTTGAAATATTTTTAATAATATTAATGCTCAGTTTCAAAGTTATTACGAGAAGTGTATGATTGCACATATTTTTTATACCAAATTAGTTTTTTACATTTAATTAAAATAAAATTTGAGTTATGATTCTTATTAAATTTATTTAATTACATTTCGTTTCAACCCCATTAACCTTTATATTAAAAAATTTTTTTTAATATATGTATATATATATATAGCAGGTATGCCATAAATTATTTCCAATAATTGTATAAATTAAATGTATAAATAGGCAAGTACAGTAAACTAAATCAATAATTCTATGTATAACTGTAAATTTTGCCATGCTTCTTTTCTTCTAAAACAGTTTAATAATTCCCATAAATATACAATTACAATTCTAATAACTGTTTATTGCTACAATTTTTTTTTTCGCGCCATCTTTTTTTTTTTTGCCTTACATTTTTAATTCATTTAACAATTTTCACACTTAACTAGTTCACATTTTGTAGTTAACTTTTTATTACCATTATTTCTTGAACTCCATTTTTTTTCTGTGTATATTGTATTTTATTAATAAAGAACCTATAAGTTTAGAAAACTAAATTGACATAGAAATTCTTACTATTCTACTCACAAAAAAATGCTTGTTTCTATGTACGTATGTATGTACGGCATATCCATTCTTTTAAAAATTACAATACTGTGGCATTGCTGCTACAATTATTGTAGTTTTAGAATAAAAACTTGCGAAAAAAAAAAAGTAGTTAAAATTGAAAATTTTTAATATGAAAAACCAATCATTCAACCAACCTACATAGCTTTTTATTTTATTTTTCTTATTAAATGAATTGAAAACATATAGAAACTTCAAAACTTCAATGCAATACAATATAAAACTGGTTGAAAATGAAGTCCGCACGAGCGAAAAAAAAATTAAATTTTCAAAAAATCACAGAAAATTCTGAAGAAAAAATTAAAGAAAGAAACTGAAATGTAGAGCTAAAAGAAATTGAAATAGGAAAAAAATAAAGTCATAGCAAATGTATTGTTTAAAATAAAAAAAGTGGTTCCTTATTACAAGTAACCTTATAATCTTAATGCATACTTAAGTAATAAGGATTTGTAAAAAGAAACATGAAATAGAGTTGACCAAGTTTATAATGATTAACAGTTACAATTTATGATATGAAGTTTTAATATTGCTTTGAAATTTTGATAAATTTTAACTCCAATGTTCGTCCTTTATATTTGGAATCAGTTTTAAATTATATTTGAATCAATTGCTGTTTTGTAATTTCGATTTTGTATATTGTTGATGGTCTTATTAATCTACATAATTGAGTAAGATCGCCAAAATTTTGTTCATGCAATGAATTTAAAAAATTCAAATTGCATTATGAACGTTGTTCAGCTAAATTAATCCCTTTAACAGAATTATATTTTAAAGATTAAAGGCAAGTAAAATGCACAGGTTTATTCAATCCTGTTACCGAAAAAAACTGAATTTGAAATGAAAACATTTAAGAGATTATTGCCATTAAACATGTATTTCGATTTTCTAAATGCACTTAACCCAGAGTTATTGTTCTTGAATTTAAGCCGAATTTAAGCCTGATATATTGGTTAGAATAATTTAGGCCAAATCTTGAATTTAAGCCTGATATATTGGTTAGAATAATTTCATGATAATTTTTCTTTCTAAAATAATGTTTCTATCAAAAGCTACACGCGTACTTTGTTCACCAAAACATTTTATTTATTGGTTTATTAAAAATTTTTAAAACAGTTGCATGGTACCAGCTCCTTAAATAACTACAACAAATTCAAACATGATCGAATGGGGTTCCAATTTAATTTTTGCTTCAAATTTTCTAACAATTTTTTATATCACTATTCATGAAAAAAACACAATATCTTAAATGTATAATAATCTGAAGTACAGTAAGACCTCTATAGCCCGAAGTCGCACAGGAGCGCTATGTTCAGTTCGAGTTATGGAGATTTTGAATTGAAGAGAAAAAAAAAATTAAGCCAATGTTCAGGGGAACTCATATGGCTTCGAGATAAAGATATTTTCGATTTATAGCGGTTCGAGTTGTGGAGAGTCCACTGTATTTGTTTAGTTACAATTTTAGTAGTAGATTTTTAAACTAATTCCACTTATATCTCTGTTTCTACAACTCATCCTGAATACTGTGTTTACTTACTTACGAAATACAACAAAAATCGTATATAACTCATTTTATTTCTTAATAGCATATTCAATATACATACATGCTACAGATATAGTTGATTAAAACAAGTAAATTAATAAAATGAAAAGAAAAAAACCCAATTAAGAGGTGCACCTGATTGTGATTAGAAAGGAAATAAAAAAAATAAGGGGAATAAGGAAAAAAAAACTGTTGGCTGTTAGCTATTTTGAACGCTTCTAGTTCTTTTCAATTTTATTTTAGCTTTTTTTTCCCTTATTTTCCTGCAGTTTATTATAATAGCAGTAAGAATAATATTTCTTTTAAATTTTCTTCTCGAATGTATTCACAAAATTATAATCCATTTAAAATATTTGAAACTATTGATATTATTGATTATATTTTCAGTGCCAACATTCTGCCATCAGAAATACTTAGAGTTTACGAACCATTTTTGTAGAAACCTTGTAACGGTCATTATTATAACTAAAATAGTATCGTAAAATCGGATTCTCATACCATCCCTATGAATATCGCTATCTATGCTAAATTTACACAATCACATTATTCACACTACACTGTTGCATTTACACTGAATAAATAAGAAGGAGGAAAAGGAAACATATTGCTTTTATAAGGAAAATTTAACATAGGAAGCGGTATTCGTAGGGATGTTACGAAACATTTCATTTTACGATATTATTTTAGTTATATTACGATATTACGATATTATTTTAGTTATATTATTATAACTAAAATAATATCGTAAAATGAAATTTCTCTGCTACAATTTCTCTGCTATAATTTCTCCTTAGAAATAAGCAAATTCTTTTATAAATCGATTTTGCATTCCTAAATATCTGATCCACATTTAATTGGCGTATAATAACTATAATAACAAGGTTATATGTTTTATTACGAAACTCTTGTAAAATTAATAAATTACTAATTAAAATAATTGGAGCAGTGTTAGCAGGAGACGAAAATTTTTGAATTCCTATATTTGTTTGTAATTAATTTCAAAAACCAAAGACGGTAGTGGGAAGCAACTTAAATCATACAACAGTTTATATACCTACATGTACGTAAAAAATATAAATTCATTTACTCCCCACATATCTAAAACCACACATTTTTTTTTATAAAATCTTATACCATTTGTACGGGCATCCTACAGTTAGATCATATTACTTGAAATAATAATCCTATATGTAGCATTTATATAGAGCTTATATATACAGATGCACATTTAATAAAATAATCAAGTTCATAGTCACATTGCGAAATGGTCCATCGTTGGTGTTGCAAAAAAAAAATATTAAAGCGCTGAAAAACCAACGAAAACAAAAAAAAATGTGCAGAAAAAAATTTCAACTCAAAAAAAATAATTTTTTTTTTTCCAATAAAAAACATAACTGTTCTTTGGTTTAAAAAGTTGCACAAGATTTTTCGCAAAATAAAAAAGAAAAACAAAAATGTTGCATTCACGATTTAATGTTGTTAATTTTTAATCTGCGCCCCTTTCTTGTTACCTCTATTTTGTTGCACTATAATCCTTTTCCTCACCTCTTCACTTAATTTTTTTCTTTCTTTTCTTTTTTCTTATATATTGTCATCAAATATAGGTAAGTACTTTATAAGATTACTTATATGTACAGGGTACACATACTTACATTTGACATGGCACCCCTAAAATAATACTAAGTTGGTTATTTATTTTGTCTTTGGGAAGGAAATGAGCGGTTTTAGGTTATTTTGTTAATATTTTTTTTTATTAAAAGTTATGCTGTAATGTAGCGGCGAAGTTGTACGTATGGCATTTCAAGTAACGTAAATGAAGAGGCTTACAGCCTAATCGTGGATCTCGATTTTTTACTCACTTTTTATTCAAATTTTCAAATCACTTGCTTCTCACTTGATGAGTAAAAAGCGAAAGAGACGATTAGGCCCATATTATGTATGAAAAATTTGGCGAATTCTTTGGCGAAAAATTTGGCGAAGAATTATTTAGTACTGTTAAAGTATTGTACTATTTAAAAAATGTGCAAAATAAATCCACTCGTCATACGGAAGTCGGCAAGTTAGCGAATCCGCCATAGATAATGAACCTAAAACGTATACATATGTACAAAAAATATTGTAAATTTTTTGACTACTGATTTTATACTGATTTTAGAATACCATCAGATTTTAACGGAAATATTGGAAAATCGAAATTTTAAAGTTAAAGTTTCTTGAAATCTTCTATACGATAGCCGTTTGATACCACAAAACTATTATTATAAATCAATATTTTTAAATATTTTCGAAACAAAATCCAGCAACATAAATATTTTTATTTTTCTAATAAAAGTGTATTTCTTTGGTGGTGCAAAATCTATTTATAAAACGTAATTTTTACTTGAAATCGTCGTAATTTTTCCTTCTTGTTATTTCTATCGGCAAAAAAGGTGGTTCTGATTAGGTATTTGTTGATTGGAAAAAGAAAAAAAGCGACCACAGGAAAAGCGAAAAATAAAGCTGACTTTTTTTTCTATACGTTTTTTTTTTTTTATTATTATTTTTCTTCGATTAATTTAAAGGTTTTAGAATCAAATATCTATAAATATACTTGGGAAATATTGTATATATAAATCTTCGACATTAATTCAAACTGTATTCATATAATATATGAATTTGTGTGTATGGATATAGGTTTAAGGTACACTACTGTAAAAAAAACTTGAACAGGTTTTGGGAAATTATTGGGGAAATTTCTCGAATTTAGTCATTGTATCTCAATTAGATGAAATTAGATGAGTAAACACAAAAAATTTCTATTTACTCATCAATGCCAATATAATAGATATTGGATCAAACAGACACTCCTTTACGAAATCACAATTCGAAAATTTTCTAAAAAGGAAATAGTCTATAATAATGCGTTTTCATTTTTCCTATCAGAGTCAAACATTTACAAAGAAGATAATTGATGCGTTAGCCACTGCGACAATATCCTGACATTTTGGGCAGATCAAATATTCAATTTAAAAAGAAGCTTGTTCCATTAATTTTTGATGGTACTGTAACATAGTTATTGCACACACACTTATACTTCGATTCCTTAATATAAAAAATTCGCAATTTAATTTTATTAGCTTTCGAAATTCAGTTTTTCTTAAGTTGTAAACCTTTTCAATTTCTTTAAATTTTCTTTTTGTTTTTTTTCTTACTCTCATTCTATTTTTCCCAATTTTTTTTTTTTTTTTGTTATTTTAGGCATTCCGGATATTATATGGTACGAGTCTTATGTCACTTTTTATATACGAGCGAAGAATGAGGAAGTATTCACAATTTTTTTTTCTTCTTCTATTTGTGCTGTGCTTCTTGAAACAACTCGTTCTATTTTGAAAGTACAACATTTTTATAAAAAGAAAAATTTGCTTCTCTTTTTTTTTCTATTTCGTAAATTAGTTTAAAGGAAAAAATACCTGCCGAGATATTAATGAAAATAAGTAAGAAATGAATAGCGTTTTTCTTCTATTATATTAAATGAAAAAAAGAGAAAAAGAAGGAAAGAATTTCGAAAATATTGTCTATTAATTAGTTGCCCATTGGAAAATTGTAAAATATCTAATTCTATATAATGTTATACAAAGTATTAATCATAGCGTATGACGTCTTCTAAGTTGTTATACATATAAAAGAAAAAATAAATTACTGTATTAAAGTAAAATTGCATTCTATAATAGGATTGGCGTTAAATTTTTTTTTTTTTTTTTTGTAATGCAATTTTTGAAAATATTTAAAAATTTTCAATGCGTCTTTTGTGGTAGCACAATGGTATGAAAATTTTGAAATATTGATTTGAAATAAGGATATTTGAATTTTAATTAATATTATAAAAAAATTATTTTTACAGAAAAATGTAAAAATATTTAGACTTTTTCGCTTAATGAATTGAATAGAAAAAATAATGGATTGCGTTTAATTTAAAAATACCGCTTTTTACTTAAAAAGGTGAATGATTCATTCAACAATTGAAAAAAAGCTGGAGCGGCTGATGAGAACATAGAATGCGATCCTTACTAGCGGGACACGAAGGACTGTCGTCATGCGAAGATGTTTCTGCCATCACGCTCTCGAAAATGAACCTGAAATGAATTGTTGGGAGCTAGATAGAAACAGGGTTTGTGCTATTCAAAATTTTTTTTTGCTATAAAATATCACCAATATAAGCTGGAAAATTCAGGCTCCTTCTTGTGCAAACTTTGTAGGGGCTATGACGAAACAGCCGCGCATATTTTTTGCAGATGTCTGGTACTCACAATTGTTTTGGACGGCGTTTCGTATATGCGTTTGGGAAATGGAATTTTCTTGGAAATATTTCCAGCTTTGTACATGAACAGGGATATTATAGGTGGGAGTGTGGAGACGCTACATCATGTCAAAACTGGTTTCCGTATTTGATTTCCTTTGAAAATCTACAAATCTAACACTTCATTTTAAAAATTATTAAAAAAACACGTAAATGCTGTAATGGATTAACTAAGGGGATTCCACACCACTCTTCCCACAAGGAATATACAGGGCCTAGAAAACATATTTTTAAGTGTTACTGTTGTGGGCAAAATAGGACGGTATTTCTTGTAAACAAGAAAAGGAAGGTATTGCAAAGTTACTTTGTTATACAGCCAATTTGTACTTGCTTTAGTTTTTAGCGTAATAAACACAAAAACTTCAACATTAAAATTTAATTTTTTAAATGCACGGATGAAATACATCAGTGCCGTAATTGGTATACTCATTATTTCTCTAATTGGAATTTTTATCATAAAAGTGTTAAAAATAAATTAAAATCAAATAATAAAAAACAAACATTTGTAAGTTTTGTAAAAAAATTATCAAGGTTTTCAGTTACAAATTGCTTTCTTGTTAAAATTAATTATTAAATCATCTTGTTATTTAAAAATATATTGAACATCTTTATGCTAATTTTAACAATTATTTTTTAATTATTTAAAACAATATTACTTTCATAACTTTTAATTGAAATCTTTGAAATTTTTTATTATTGTCATTTTAATGACGATCACCTACGGGGAAATCTTGACCATATACGTACATTTATATTTAATTTTATTTTTTATTGATGTTTAATTAAAAAACAAGCTGGTAGTACGCGGAATCAATTATAAAAATTATGAAGATTTTATTTAAACAAAAAAAAAATCTCATTAAATAAGTTATTAAAAATTCTGCTTTTTGCCTGTAGAACAGAAGATTTGCATCTATACGGGGTTTGTTTTTATATATAAGTTTACATTCTTCATGTATTCTAATTGGAATTGAACTGTAATTCTTTAGAAACAACCTGACTTTCATACCTTAGAAACAAACAGTTAAATAATTTTTTTAATTTGAAAATAATTATATTAAATATTATTAAAAAAATACACGACTATAGATCAGACAGACACGACTATAGATCAGAAGTAAACTTCATTTTGGACACGGCTGTGAAGAACGGTTATTCTACTGAACGTATTAACAAACTCATTAGGAAGAAAAAACGAAAAATTGAGCAGGAGAATATGAGCACATTGTTTAAACAGAACAGGATATTGGAAGAACAAAGAACAACATGGGTATCTTTAAGTTATGATCATCACTGTACAAACTTGATATTCGGACATCACAAACCAATAGTAAATATCAACTTAGGAGCTTGTTAAATTCGGATAAGGATAAATTGAAGATACATGAAAGATGCGGTGTGTACAAAATCAATTGTAATAATTGCGATAAATTTTACATAGGACAAATGAAGAGACCCATTACAACAAGACTTAAGGAACATTTAAGTGAAATAAAACGTGCAAGGAGAGTAGGATTTAATAGGATTCTATGGTTACAAAACACATTTATGAAAAGGATTACACAATCACGGAAGATAACTTAAAGGTATTAAAAGAGGTAAAAGGAAAACACAGGAGAGAAGTTCATGAAAGCATGCAAATATACAAATCAAACAAGGACTGCCTACCGAACACGGACGAAGGTAACGCGGCTACTTGGTTCTTTAAATTAATTATTTGACCAGTTTTAAGGTTTAAAACAGGTATAAATTTAGTTTGTAACTAATAACAAAAAAAATAAATAATCAAATTCTAGATTAAGTCAGGTATAATGTTCCTAATTTTAATATATTTCAATTTTTATTGTTTGTTGTCTTAATTAGAAGAAAATCAGCTTTGATAAAGTGCATATGTAGCGCACGAAATATATTAGCAAAAAATTAAAAAAGTATTTTATTCCGAATAAAAGGAAATTTTCTTTTCATACAAATAAAAAAAAAAAAAGAATAAATATTATTAATTATTCACGAAATTTAAAATAATTACCACTTCACATTTAGTTAACGCCTAAATTATCTTTGTTTTGATAGGGAAAGGCATAAGTTACCGGCCACAGTAAAGAAAATATTGTGATCGCACAAAATATTATTTCTCTATTTGCGCATTCCCCCAATTCATTTACTGAATAAAATTCATGCTCAATTCGGGTCCCCTTCTTTGCATCTCGGTGTTGTGTCCCAAATGTTTGTACTTGAGAGCAACTATAGCACATATTAATGGAATTCTCTAAAATGACAATGCATTCCAATTGAATGAAAATTATTTAATAAAGTTTTGGAAGATCCTGTTTTGTATTCTAATTAGTTTAATTCCTTTCTCATAAATCCTCGGCTAGTATGTGTAAATATCATTTGAGATGAATACAAAGAATCTGAATTCTAAATATCTGAATATTTAGAAAAATTTTTAAAATGGTGAACAAAATCCAATATTTAATTCTTAAGTTTTACACAAAATAACCGTTAGGATTCAGCTATTATAAAAATAGTAAAGTATAGTTGCATTCCTTCACAAAAATTTGATCACAAATGGAATTCATTTGGGGTAATTCGCAAAACTAGGTTCAAAAAAAAATTTAAATAATTTTGTATTCAAAAAAAAAATTTTTTCTTTTTGTAATTTAATTGTAAAATTTTCGTAAATATTTACGAAAATAGCAATTTTTTTTTGCTTTTCATGAAAAGAAAGTACAAAAGAAAGTTTTTTTTCAAACAAAGTAATTCACATAAAATAATTAAAGCTATATACTACTTATGGAAGTTACTAAGTATAACTTCTGATTTAGCGTACATACTTTCATAGTTTTAATCGGCCTATTGTTATTGGAACTCTTAAAAACAATATACGAAAAAAAGCTATAAATGAACAAAAAATAACATTCACTGCGTCAGGAGTTAAAGGAGTTAATATAGAGTTAGTATAAAGTTTCCAAACATAGAAAAGGAAAAGAGAAATGTAATACTATAATATAAATTATTCGTATAATTGAAACAATGAATGAAAATAATTTACTTATATAATATATAGTGATATATATAGTGATATATAATGAATATATAGCGATATATAGTGAATATATAGTGATATATAGTGAATATATATGGCATATGAGTAAATTGAAAGAAATTTTCCATAAAAATGATCTTGAATCAAATTAGGATATTATTTATATTAAGCATTAAAGACTGTATAAGTATATATATATATATATATATATAAAAATAACAACATGGTCAGTTGTATATATAGTCGACCTCTATTTAAAACGTATTGTATACAATCCAATAATATTAACATTTCTCTATGCAAATTTCATATACATAATTATGTACATTTTATAAATATAGTAATTATAAAAAATTGCTTTGTAACATGCAAATTATATTTACCAATGCAGATCTATTATAATGCAATTTTAGAGGAATAGAACATTTACCTTTTATTATTTTAAGCTTGCACATGTTTTAGAAATACTTCAATTATATAGATACTAGATACTTAACTTTTAAACTGAATTGAAATAATTCCAAAGACCAAGAGATCTTTTATAAAAAATATTTATTTTACAATTTTCAAATGCTTATTAATAAAAAAATATATTATACAGATATATAAATTAATAGTATATTTTGTATGTAATTTCTAAACAATGCAAAAAATATGTGAATAAGTACGTAATGTTGGCACATTTTTTATAAGAGTATAAACAATTATTTTTTTTAATAAAAAAAAAATATATGTAAGAATGTCGATTCAAAATATTCCAATTTCAGAAATGAATTTCATGACAAAGAATTTCATATAGCTACTTATGTATCAATGTAGATAAAAATGTAGCTTTAATATTGCTATAGAATATTCTATATATGAGTTAACCATAGTCATACTAATACAGAGTTTATTCTGTAACCTAGTTAAATTCTATACTTATTTTATCATTGAATAATAATAAAAAAATTTTACTGAAGTGCATTTAAGTTATAAGAAACTTATAATCATTATTTCATGTTTTATATAGCCTTACGAACGTAACGTATGTTCGAAGAGTATACTAAATTTGCCTTACCGTTAGTAACCCTAAGAAATAATGGGCTAAGATATAGACTCAAATATGTATATGTTCTTGATCAATGTCGAATTTTGAGTTGATTTAGCTTTGTGTGTCTGTTCGCTCGTCCCAACGATAACTCCAAAAATAATTGAGCTATATTCACCAAATTTTCACAATTAATTTATTATAGTAAATACAACAACCATATTGGATATGATCGAGGTACTGGTTCGAATAGCAGGCATACAACAGCAAAAGTTATTTAGCAATTATTGGAACTGTATAATATAGAAATTTCGTGAAAACAAGTGTATTAGAGCTGTTATGTGTGATAAAAATCTATGAAATTTAGGTTGACCATATCTTAGAAAATATTGAGAAATATAGAAACACAGTACAGAAATTTTGCATAAATTAATATCGTAATACGGCAACTTAAAGTCATAGTCTGTTCCATAGTCAGCTGTAAATGCGAGTAAATGCACATCAGATAAAAATTTGGTACGGGTATCACAGAGTTGACACGATCAACTCTATTTCTTCTCGTTTTTTTTATTATTATTTTATTTTTTCATAGGCGGATGTTTGATTTTTTAAGAAGAACGCAAAACGTAAAATAAATTCGGAAAATTTAAATATAATTGAATATTTAAGAATAATGGGATTGTGTAATTCAAGAATTTTTTTTTTATTGAAATTTTGGACATTAGAAATGTTTTATTACATACTTACAATCATGAACAGATGGAATTTTTGAATTTCCTTGTGGGTTGATTACCAAATTAACTTATAAAATTTCTGTAGAAGTTAATACAAAAATTCAATTTAAATCGTACATTTAAGTTCTTTGAAAGTAAATTTGTATTTAATTTAAAAGAATAATTAAGTATTGCAATTTTTAATTATGTTTTACTTGAATTGTGAATTTTGAAAGCACAAATTAAACTGTTTCTTTCAAATTTAATTGAAAAAAATGTTGAAAATTTAACTATTTTATATAGCCAGGTGTAAGTTTAAAATTTTTACAATTATTTATAGGTAAAAAATGGTGTCTGGTCTGCTTTAGTTAGCTGATAAATGGTACAATAGCATATTACACATAAGTAAATGAAATCAGCTATTGGAAAATCATGTTTGTATCCATTCTGGCATTTTTCTCTTAACATCATTCAATATTGAAATATTGCATACTTTTAGGGAGCGCGGGCCAGAATGTATTAACAAAATGATGGAACTATACTAATAGAGTTAGATTACTTAATAAAAATATTAATTTTGTTTTCTGATAAGAACGTGTACACGGACACTGACATCGAGTGAAGTTAATAAGAATAGATATAGTTGATCATTTGATTTTTTAAAGTTACAATAGCAGTAAGAATAAGCGTTTCTAAGAGCTGAATAGCCAAGAGGATTCCCTGCGTTTTCGCCTTTATATTTGCATGCAAACACATGAATATTAAAAGTAATAAAATTAATTAATTTTTAATTATTCATGGATTTCATAAATAAAGTTCTAAATTTTGCTATGCCTATACATTAGAAATTTTTTCATAATCATTACTACCTACGAAAGTAAAATTAATTTAATCTCATTTTAATTTGGCTGCAATTGAGATTACATTTTCATAAATATACATAGTTAGTGTGTACTGCCTCTTTCACAGGAACTTAGCAATAATAATAATAGTTTTGTAAAGAAACATTTTCGCAATTTTAATTTATTGTTTTCCGGCAATTAATTAACACCTGTGCTAATTTAAAATTATAAATTAATAACATAATATTTTTTCATATATTAAGTTAACCACCTTTACAAGTAATTTTTTTAATTGGCTAACATGCAATTAAAAATCTCATAAAACACACAGAGAACAAAATCAGAGAGAACAAAATCAAAAATTCAAATTTTTTCAGAGAAAACTATATTTTAATTAACTTTGAAAAATATAATTACCATCATAAAATTAAAATAAAAAGAAAAGATGTCTGCCATAAGTAAAACTATTGAAATCTACCCACAAAATAATGAATTTACAGGGTGCCAAGAGGAGTTATCATTCGGTGAAACAAATTAATATTAAAAAACTTAAAATGAGGAAGCATTGTAAAGAGCAATGATAAAACAATTCAATAATTCTAATTTCTTAATTGTCATTTTATTAAAAACAATAGAATAACAGGAATTAATCAGGATAACAGAAAGAACGCTCTCTCATCTATTCCGAAATTTTTAAAT